TGTGTGTTTGTGTGTTTGTATGTGTGAACTGCAGGCAGCCTGTGTGTAGTGTCAGGCCTGTCTGCCGCAGATAAGCATCAACTCCATCGGCTTGTGGCCTCTCGCTGAGCGTGTCCTGGATTTGCTCAAAAACACACACACTCAGACGCACAACTAGAGGCAGCGCCAGCAGTATTTACTGAATACACATGGCTCACAGGGTACAAAGCTGACACAATGAATCACAAACATCCACCAGAAAATATGTCTTCACATTGAGCAAAAGGCTGACTCCAACCGTGTTGCATGTATACCGATGAATCACTCGCATAGAAACACATAATGACAGGCCGTGTTGTAGCCACGTTGAATCGTCTTGGCTTTTTCTTGTGTTTTATTCATATGTTTTCCCTCTGTGGGCTCATTTAGCCTCTACTCTCAGCTTATCCATTTTCCTGACACCGTATCGCGGCCGACTCAGGCCATAGCTCACTTGCGCGACTCCCTTTTAATGCCATTCGTCTCCATTTTCAATCTCTTGGATGTCATTTGTCTCCATTTCCTATCGGTTAAATACGATTTGTCTCTGTCTTTCCCCTCTGTGACCGTGGTGCCAGTTGTCATTTTTTTGTTTCCTCCTCTCGTTCCCACGCTCCCTGTGCATCGTTTTAATTGCTCAGAGCATCGTAACGAACGTATTCCACGCCGCACTGTGTTGTCTTTTAACCTCTTGCGTCTGTTTAACCGCTGTCTCTTTCTCCATGTGTGTTTCAGAAGGCGGTGGAGGAAGAGGAGAACCAAGTGAGGAAATCCTCTGCAGATCTCTGCTCCCCCAGCAGCAAGCTGGCTGACGTCGACCCTGCAAGAAAGGTCAGTCGTCGGTTCCCTCCCCATATCCATCCACCCCATCACTCCATCACCTCCAACATCCCCTCCTCTCTCTCTTTCCCCCCCTCCCCCTCCTCTACACACAGGTCAGCTCTCAGGGTCATCACCCACCCTGACTGACACACCCCCTGTTCACCGAGTCATAGCGGCACACTTCTCCTCTCTGACCTGTCAGGAAATACACTCATACACCCACTGAAAGGCTCTGCTCTTCACCTCCCCCTACACACACACACACA